GGGGGGGGGGGGGGGGGAGTGGAGTAGAGGGGGCAAGCTGTGGGCATTGCCCAGAGCCTCGCCCCCACCTCAACAGCCTACAGGCCAGATGGAGTGGGGTGGTCAGGCCAGGAATTGGTTTAAGCTAAATCCTTAATGCACAGAAAACAAAATTCATGGAACTTAGTGTTCCTGTCTGTCAACTGCATGTGAGATTGAGGTTGTCCTGGAACAAATCACTTTTAAAATAATGTTTTTCGGTTATTCCTCTATCACTGCAGGTGCACTGTACTTGAATAGTATTTACTAATGGTAAAACTTTTCTCCTATCATAAGAACGTATCTTATGATATCTTTTGTATTTAAAAGGCTGGAGTGCAATGAGGAGGGGAACCCTGCATGAGCCAGAAATCCACTGTTCCAGCTTATGCTGGGTCCTCCGGGCTCCTTTTTAATGGATTAAGAGCCTATCAGATAAGCTTACATCCCTACTCCTGTCACTCATTTCCAGATTCTGACAGACAGAGGAACACCATTCCTACCCATCTAGGCTAATATGTATTGATGGACCTAACCTCCATTAAGTTATCTAGTTTTTTTTTGAATCCTGTTAAAGTCCTGGTCTTCACAACATCTTCTGGCAAAGCATTCCACTGGTTGACTGTGCAGTGTATGAAGAAAAACTTCCTTTTGTTTGTTTTAAGCCTGCTATCTATTAATTTAATTTGGTAACCCCTAGTTCTTCTGTTACATATGTTCACTGACACTCAAATTAATCCTAGCAGAGAGGCTTTTAAGCAATGCTTCAGTGAGGAACATGTTTTGAGACCTCTGCATTGGTATGAATTTTACCCTTTGAAATTATACCCACAGAAATATGATTCACATTCATTATAGTTATAGGACATTTGACATTGGATAGGAAAAGGTCAATGCATCTTAGTTTAAAAAGAAGTCTTATTTCCCTGTGGCAACTTTCCCACTGTAAGATGAAATGAAGCTTTGTATCAATCAGTTCACTTCACAAAGGATTACAAACTATTTCACAGTATCATAAATCCTATTAGGTTTGCTCTGAGTCAGATTTTCATTTTGCCTGAACATTACTAAGCTAACACTCACCTTTGCCAAAGCTCTTATGCCTAGATCCTCAAAGTTATTTGGGCACCTAACTATCATTGATTTCAGTGCCACTTAAGTGCCTAAATACCTTTTTTAGGATCTGGGCCTTACATTTTCCTCATCCTCCATCTCCCTCAGACACTAGTTTATTTCTTTAGCTGGGATGCATCAAACTTGTTAGATGCTCAAACTTGTTAGAAGTTTTAGGAAACAGAATGAACCAGAAACTAACTGTAGTTGACTGGTCCACTCTAAGTCCATACTCAGGCACAATGAAATCAAGGGAAGTCTGACTGAATAAGAACTGTGGATTTGGGTGGAAAAATAACGGGAAAAACTTATTCCTCTGAGACATGATTCTTCACTGCCTTGCACCTTCTAAGCCAGGCATGTCAAACAGGCGTCTGGCGGGCCGCATGCGGCCGGATTGAAGTTTTTTGCGGCCCGGCACAGAATAAAGGGCAGCCCACTGGCCGCTTTGAGCACATGGCTGAGTGCAGATCACAGCCCCCCAGCCACTCTACGCACTGCACCCCAGTGACTGCTCAAGGCTGGCCTGCCTCTCTGCACTCCAGCATGTGCTCACAGCTGGCCAGCCACTCTGTGTGGGGCATCAAGCACCTGCTCACAGCTGGCCACTCTGCTCACGCACTCCCGTGCCTGGAGGAAAGAGTATGGCAGCGGCTCTGGGACCCAGGCATTAGGCTGGAGAGGGGACTGGGAGTACCTGGCTCTGGGGAAGGCGGGATGCATTATTTTAGGGGACACTGGGGGAGCCTGGCTCTGAGGGAGGGGTGAGGCATTAGGTTGGGGGGTACAGGGGGTGCCTGGCTCTGGGGGAGCAGTGAGGCATTAGGTGAGGGGGTGGGGAGTGTCTGACTCTGGGGGAGTAGAGGGGGATATTTTACTTTTTTTATTTATTCCCAAATAAAATCATACAGGGGGTGCCTGGCTCTGGGGGAGCAGTGAGGCATTAGGTGAGGGGGTGGGGAGTGTCTGACTCTGGGGGAGTAGAGGGGGATATTTTACTTTTTTTATTTATTCCCAA